ATCTCACAAACACGTAGCCCAAAAGGTGCATGCTGCCTCTCTTGCCTCCCTTTCCTCGAGGAAAGCTCCCAAACCTTCCCAAAGCCTTCACTGGCCCCCTGGAGCAAGAATTAAAGTTTAATGTGGCTCTGGAGCTGACCCTGGGCACCCACTGTCCCCAGGGATACATGGCTGGGGATAGGCTGGTGGCCATCCCTTGGGCCACCTTCAGGGCAAGAGGCACTTTGGCACAAAAAGGTGTTTTGGCAGTAGCCGGGTGGTGACTGGCTCCCCATACAGCATGGTCATGGGGCTTTCAGGTCACCCAAGAGATTCATTGATGAAATGTCACACCAGGTTGGGTTTGTCCCCTTGGGACTGGCCCCGTGATGCTGGGACAGGATGGGCTCGGAGCCACGGTGGAGCTGATCGGTGTGGTCTGGACACATTCCCGGGCACTGGTGGAACTACGTGCGGGTACCAAGAGCCACCACTGTGCTCTCTAGGGCACGTTGAGGTCCTGCCCCTTTGAAGCAGAGCTGCTTGGGGAGCACGGTGGAGCGGGGGGACCTTGTTCCCAAGGTGAGGGAGCTGAGCACGGCAGGAGTGCAGGGGCTGGCACAGTGCCCAAGGCTGCAGCCTGGCTTTCAGCAGGGCGATGTGACACCACCACAACCGTTTGGGGACAGACAGGTTCCCGAGGTGGAGCTGGGCACAGACCTGTATCCCCAGCTCTCTGGATATTTTGTTTTTCTCCTTGCAGATGAACTTCCTCACCCAGGTAACAGGGGAGATGGCAGGGAACGCATCCACACCCAGGTGGTCTCACCCCTTCGCCATAGCACCCAGCACCCAAGGATCCCATGGCTGGGACCTGCCCAGTGATGAGTTTGAAAGTGCTGGGGTGATGGAGGGGCCTCGGAGGCTGCTGTGGGTTGGAGATGGGTGCTAGCATGTGTGGGTGCCAGCAGAGACGGATGTCAGAAGGGGATGGGTCCCAGGCTGGCTCTGCACCCTTTCCCCACAGATTAGCACCCTGGTGCAGATCCTGCAAGACCTAGATGGCCTGTTCCTACAGCCCCGGTGCCGACCGTGCTCTTGGGTGTGACAGGTTTGGGGTGCTGGCACAGGGATCCTGGCCAGGGACTCAGGCAGGGGGATGGCATCAGTACGGGCAGGGGCTGAGCCATGACACTGGTGCCCTGGGTCTCATTGGTGCCACCGGGGCTGATGCCGGGTGTTTGTCCCTCCAGGTGAGCAGCTCCAGGCAGGTAAGTGCCGGTGTCTCCTCTGCACCCTGCACCACAACAGACCCAAATCCTGCACATCCCACCTTTTCCACAGCACCCATGGGTGCTCAGCACCTAGAGAAGATGGCTCCTTCTCCCAAAGTTTCCCCACCCTCAGAGTGGGGAACAAGCCACTGGGCAAGGGGGATGAGTGAGTGGGTCGGTGATGATGCCGCTGTCCCTGGGGCACTGGTGACCCTGAAACGTGGACGGGTCCCCAGGTGGTGGCTGGGGCCACGAGCACGGCCGCATTCTTCCTCTGCGAGGGGCTGCTGGGCCAGCACTTCCACGTCATTCCCAATGGGGTGGCTGAGCCCCAACCTGGGGACCTCTTCCTCTTCCCTCTGGCCTCAGGAGGCCCCAGCTGGTGGGATGCCCACGCTGGCATCTACTGCGGTGATGGGGACATCATCCACCTGGAAGGTGAGCCCCAGGAGGTGGTCACAGCATAGCAACATCCCTGTGGAAGGGATGTGGGTTGCAGCATCCCCTCTGCCCTGCAGGCAACTCTGGGACATCCCCATCAGGGATCATGGCCAAGCACAGCAAGAGCCACCTCCTGTGGACACGGGGTCCGGCCAAGGTGCTGCGGAGGAAGGAAGGTGTTGGATGTGGTCACCCTGAAGCAGATCAGGAGGTGGAGTACGATGCCATCATCTGCAACTGTGTCCACTTTGCCCTTGTCCTGCTGGGGCTGGGCCAGCTCACTGGTGCCACGGTGGGTGCCACCGTCACATTGGATGCCACCATCTCGGGGGACTGCGAAGCCCACCCGATCAAGCATCACCACAGCCCGTCTTCTCTCCCCGGTGGCTCCAGTGCTGCAGTGATGGAGGTGATGATGTGCTGGGGGGATGTGCAGAGATGAAGCATCCTTCTCCAGGAGACGGCGCTGCGCCGGAACCTTTGACATCTCTCTTGTGTGGCAATAAATGGTTGCATGGAGAGTCTGTGCCAACCCTGTTTGATTTGGGGGGGTTTGGCCTTTGCTTTTACCTGGGTCCTGTGATGGGCTCCCCAGTGTAAGAGAGACATGGACATACTGGAGAGAGACCAACGAAGGGCCACCAAGAGCCTGGAGCATCTCTCACATGAAGAGAATTTGAGACAGCTGAGGCTGTCCAACCTGCAGAAGAAAAGGCTCCAAATGCCTCACCACCTGATGGGGGGAGTAAAGAAGATGGAGGCATGGGGGAAAGAGACTTCTGTGAAAAGGAAAGCGAAAGTGAAAACAACACAAATCGAACAGGGTTGATTGCATTGTGTTGAAATGCAAAAACATTTAAAGAATCTCCCACATCAACTCTGCCCATTCCCAAAGTTTACCTTTAATGTGGAATTAGGAAATTAACAACAGCTTTAAAAAGTAGAAAAAAAAACATATCCAGGGGCTTCCTGGACTTTGTACGTCTTTTGGGTTTTCCTTCCAGCCTTTCTCCACCTCTCATGTGCATCTGGAAGGACGCGAGGTCAGGTTTGGCCCTGGTATGTATCAACCCACCCATTCCCACGGCATTTCCCACAACCCTTGCTGGAGGTACCAGCAGCCCGGCTCTGTCACCGGCTCCGTCCCACAGAAAACAATGGGAACTAGCACCAGTGCCCTGGTAAGGATGCTCCCATCTCCATACCCCATTGCAGGCACCCATTGGGGATGGGTGCTAGCATGCATGGGTGTCAGCAGTGATAGGTGCCAGAAGGGGATGGGTCCCAGGCTCATTCTGCTCCATTTCCCCACAGGTGAGTACCCTGGTGCAAATCCTGCAAGCCCTAGATGGCCTGTTCCTACAGCCCCGGTGCCGACTGTGCTCTTGGGTGTGACAGGTTTGGGGTGCTGGCATGGGGACCCTGGCCAGGGACTCGGGCAGGGGGATGACATCAGTCCGGGAATGAACTGAGGTATGACACTGGTGCCCTGGGTCTCATTGGTGCCACCGGGGCTGATGCCGGGTGTTTGTCCCCCCCAGGTGAGCAGCTACAGGCAGGTAAGTGCTGGTGTCCCTTCTGCACCCTGCACCACAACAGACCCAGATCCTGCACATCCCTCCTTTTCTACAGCACCCATGGGTGCTCAGCACCTAGAGAAGATGGCTCCTTCTCCCAAAGTTTCCTCATTCTTGTAAACCCGAGCTGTGCCCAAGCCCCAGGGAAAGGGGGATGAGCCACTGAGTCAGCAATGCTGCCGTTGTCCCAGAGCACCAATGGCCCTGAAACACAGATGGGTCCACAGGTGCTGGCTAGGGCCTGATCACGGTGGTATTCTTCTTCTAGGAGGGGCTGCTGGGCCCCAGGGAACAACAAAACCCCATTGCCTACACTGATTGTCCTCGCCTCCCTCCAGAAATGTCTGCATAGATGGGAAATCCTGCTCCCATTTACAAGGCAGGCAAGTTGGGGAAAGAGAAGGGACCAGTGCTGCTCACCTGACACCCCAAGCAGCACAGCTCCGCCAGCTGCCTTCCCTACCGATCAACCTGAAACTACAGCAGTTCATCTCCAAAGAGAGTCTGGACAATGTGGCCCTCGTCGCTAAAGATGAAGGGAAGACACCTCATGGTGCCAGCTCTGACAGTGTCCCTCACTTTAGGTTTCATGGAGGCAGATTGCTCTGGAGTAGCAGGGAGAGCAAATCACAGAGCCCCCTCTCACAAGGCAGTGATTTCCTGGGGACAAAGGTGTTTCTCCCTTCCCGTCAGGCACATCAATTCCTGAGTACTCGGCTGCAAGTGAGGACCTTCAGGGTCCTTTCGGTGAGGAGATGGACATGGCTGGTTCTACTTCAGGAAAGACGAGTGAGATGGATTCTATGACTTGGGACATTTTCCATCCTAGTCTGTTTGTTGCTATACACCCTTGTACTTGCTGGCTACTACAGGTTCAGATTTAGTTGCCAACATCTCACACAAACACAGAAACACATGCTGGCAAAAAAAAGAGGAGAGCACAGTCTGACAGCAGTGAGCTAGGAATGGAGTGTAATTTTAAAAAAAAATTACATTCTTGTTCTTCATGGAGAAGAAAAACTTCTCTTCAAGGAGAGAAAATATTCCAAAAATCCTAGTACCTTTTTATTAGTTTATTTTTCAGGTAGTATTAAAAACATGGATTAGTACTAAAACCATGGATTAGTACTAAAACCATGGATTGCTTTCCATCAGAGCATCTCAAAAACTTTGCAAGTTTTAACTAATTCATGATCCTGTTGGGTAGGGAAATGTAGCCCCTATTGTACAGAAACCAAGGAGATCATTCCGTTCTTATGGAAGCCAGTGACTGCCTTTTCATTTGGCTTTGGACCCAAAGCACAGTCTTATATGCAAAGGCAACATGTTCGTAGGGAAGTTACAGTGGAATGTCCCTGGTGCACTTAAATAAGTAATGTGAGATATTCTCTTTCCTGAGATCCTCTCTGCAAAGGGTGACCAGAGTTGCTTTCACAGCACTTCTGCTTCCTGGTTTCAATGGACAATGGAAATGCTATTACACCCTTAAAGAGGCTTCTACCTGCCAGGCTGTCAACTCAGCATGCTTCTGGGTCTGTATGGTCTTCTGAGTCTGCATGGTCTTCATGGAGAAGAAAAACTTCTCACAGGTTATCAGACTGGCTCTTGCAAGAGAGGGCACACTAGGCTTCTGCAAAGAGCTCTGCTGCTCCCTTGAAAGGTCCAATGAGTGAAAAGTGTGCTGTGGCCCTGGAGAAAGGTTGTAGCTGGTGATGGCCAGGAAGATGGAAACACTACTGGGGCTCATCCAGGAGCATATTGCTCAGCTGGGGTAGTCACAGGGGAAAGAAAGCCGGTGGGTCTCCTCAACGCTTTCCTCAGCGTGCTTATATCTTATTTCCTTGCCTTCCTGTCAGGTCAAATGTTTCATGCACTCTGATAGTGCTTCTTTAATGTGCACCAAGCACTGGGACTGACACCAGTGCCCCTCCTCCTGCCCTGTGCCCTGCACACCTCTGCAGCTTTCCTCAGCACTGGCCCCTGCCCCCTCTCTGCTCCCTGGAGCTTGATGGCTGCTTCTGGATGAGGGGATCCAGCAGATGCTCAGCGGATCACGCAACAGCTCAGGTAGAGATTGCGCAGTCCCAGCCTACCTCAAAGCAGGGTCAGGTAGAGGAGGCGGTTCAGGGCCTTGTCTGGTTGGATCTTGGACATCTTCAAAGATGGAGAGTCTACAGCCTCCCTGGGCAATCCTCTCCCATCTTTGACTACTTGTGGCATTACTTGTATCTCCACTGTTGTCCATTGCTTCTTGTTCTCGCCATTTCTCTGTAGCTTTTCTGTCTTTCTCTTGCCTGCTGGCTTGGTTTTGGTGTTCTGCATTGAATTCTCCTCCCACTTCAGGCAAGTCCTCAGGTCAGGAGGAAGAACATAGGAAGCCTTCCTGGAAATAGCATGAAAATCTCCTTTTTCAACTAGCTATACTGCAAGCTCACAAAAGGTACCTCCTATGGCCTAGATAAAGTGGAATGGCAGTGATCATAAGTGGTTATCTAGTCTATCTACCTACTCCTCTGTGTTTCTTGACAAGCCAGATCATTCTCCGTTTTAATTCTGCGCTATGGTTAGTTGCTGTCATTCATGCTGAAGCAAAATGTTTTAACTTGTTCGTATTGACTTATTTCTAAAGGAAAAGATTTTGTTTGGAAATTAAATATATGCAAATCTGGTAAACATCAACATTTTTCCTGAATTTTAATTCATTAATTTAGTTGCCCAAAATTTCTAAAGTTGACTGCAATCTGACAAATATTCCCCATGCTTCTGTGATTATATTCTTCATTTGTTGAAAGAAAAAGTCTATGTGTGCATGACACTACTTTGTGTTCTTAATACTTCAGCTAGCCCACTGCCCATTAAATTTTCTTCTGCCTTTTTCTCCATTTATACAAATGCTTACTTGCCTGCTTGTCTACCTATCAAATGGTTTTTTCCATCAGCTTGATATTTGTCCTACCTAATATTTGTCTGTTTAATTCTTGGACAAGTACAATCACTAATCCCTGCTTTTTATCTTCACTTGTCTTACGGTGCTCACATCTATGCACGTTTGTGTGTCTTCTGGTCATATATGAGCCTGTCTCTAGTGATGTGGCCAGGGCTGGTTGTACTGGTATATCTTCTAGTCAAGTGAGAGAGTTTGAAAACCGATCTTTGAAATGTTATAAAACGTTATTTGTTTTTTTTGAATAATTTTATATATGTCATGGTTTTTGGTACACAAATTTATTTTTCATCCTAACTGAGCATGTAGGTAGTTTTACAAGGACAGTACCAGAGGGAATTGGAGCTGTCACTGCATTTGCAATCAGTGTTGTGTCTGAACGTGGTGAGAGGGCCGATTTTATCACAGACGGCTTTGAGCTTCATGAATCCTGACAGAAATGGCCAAAGACACACAGTCCACGAGATGCTTGACCACAAATACAGTGTTGTTTAGTTTTCCTTGACAGCGTCAGCCTCTATTGAAAAATGATGTTTATTAAGTTCATTTGAAACACATTAATGGAACATCATTAGGCTTGAATAAGAAACAAGAAATCCCCTGTTGCATCATATGCTCATTAAAAACTTGAAGTCTAAAAAACTCTTTCTCAAAGACTATTTCTCCTATTAGCCACCTGATGACTGTACAGGGAGTTAGCAGCAAGAAAAAGCTTGTTACGATTTGCTCATTCTGTCAAGCCCTTGGGTAAAAATTACATAGTGCCAAGGGCGGTCACAGGAGTAAAGTTTCCTGGAGCTTTAATGGGGCCTGCTGAGGCTATTAGAGATGGAGCTGCTGCAGGAAGCCTAAGTGGCCCTCCTGGGGGACTGATCAGAGCAGAAAATCTGGGCAGAGTTACAGGAAAATAAAGGAGGCAAT